ATAAAAATACTGCTAAGTACTACTTTGTCGTAGCGTTTTTATAAAAAAATGACACTAAAGTTACAATTTTGTGACGTTTAAAATATAAATGATGTTATATATTTAAAATTAGTGATGTTTACTCTCAAAACGCCGATGCATAACAGTTTTGCTATAGTGATACAAAATTAAAGTTGAATTTTGAGGGTTAAACATTTGATTTTATTTTCGAACATATGGGTTAATTGAAATCGAAGTGTTTGACAGTTTGAGATTTTTTTTATATTTCTAACAAGATAATTTTAAAGAAAGAGAATAAAGGAATGGAGATAGAAATGCTAGTGGTGAATGAAATGATGGCTTGGATGGAGGAAGAGGAAGAGAAACTATGAAAATTGTAAAAGAATGATAACACATTAGAAGAAAAGAAGATGGATACAACTAAAATTTAAAGAAAAAAGATAGATAAAATATCATTAATCACACACTTATCGATAAATTTGATGATATAATATGGTGAAAAAAGAAATTGACTCATATAGGGTGTTTGAAAAAATTATTTTTTCAATTAGGGTGGAATAAACAATACATGGGGGAAGACGGTCAAACCAACTGTCGTCTTTGAGAAGATGTTTGGAAAGATACGGCATCTTTCTCAGGCTGCGTGTAATTAAAATACCTAGTCTAGCATAGTAGCAAAATAGAAGAGGTCTTGTCTTCTAAAATCTAAACGTCTTCACAAAGACGCAGGTATTTCGTGTCTTCTCACTAACACAGTAACAAACATCCTACCTCAAAAAATAATTCCCTCAACACCTTATACGAGTCAATTTTTTTCCAACACCCCAGCTAGACATTTTTACCAACATTTATTAGATAACAAATTTTACTTTTAAAGGATATAATAGATAAAATTAAAATGAACAAATTTTTTTAGAAGAATTATTTTCTCAAATAGGATGAAGTGAAGAGTGCAGGTTCGGACAGAGCTAGGATCAAATGTATTTATACCAAAAGTTTTGTCAACATCCCCTCCTAGCCCCTATGTGGTTTCGTCCCTGAGTGTAGGGGGAAGTCATCCAGATCATTTGGTGACTTCATGTAGTCAGTCAGATTGTAGAGCGTCTTTCTCATAGTGCCTAGATCGGTCTATGCATAACAACGAGATACGTGCACTATTGAGCTAGGGGAAAATGTTTAATCCAAAGACGTCATTTCTTCCATGCAGGCATGCGTTGTTTAATCCATTCTAATTGAGAAAATATTTTTTTCAACACTCCATATAAACCATTTCCCCCCAACAATTTTACTCTCTAAAACGATTAGGAAAAATAATTAAACATCTATATATTGATAAAATAAAATTCAAATCCTTAAAACAATATATAATTTGAATATTTATTTTTATAATTAAACCAAAAAAAAATACAACTATTAAGCTATTATTTTTTTATTAATTTATGGTGATTATTAATCGAAGTATCGGTTATAAAGACTCTCAATTATTTAATAATAAATACTCAAATATCCTATAATTATTGTTTCTCGAATATAAAATCTCTATATATAATAATTAATCTTTTAACTATTGAGATAACTTTACATATGAAGATCTTAAAATCTGCTTACACTTACACGTTTATTTGTAACTATTAACCATCATAATTCACAAACCAAAAAACGAAATTTTGATTTATAAAATTTAAAGAGTATAAAATAATAAACACAGCTTATATCTATTTTACATATTTTTTATAACAACAATATTTGCAGCAAACACGAACACTAGAAAGATTAAAACCAAAAATATTTATCGGCCACACGAAAGAATCGAGAAAAAAAATGATGTATCGCCGCCGCCGCCGCCAAAAGATTTACCAGGGTCTGATAACGAATAGCACCACGAACAAGATGATGAGCAGCAAAAGTATGATGGCATAGCAAGTCCATTTGCGGGTGTTTTTCTGGTAATTTCTCGCCGTTCGGAGCCGATTAGTTCCGTCTCTGACGAATGAATTAGCTCGGTTCACTTGGCTCTCGATGTCGTCCAATTCTTCACCTTGGGTCTGGACCAGCACCACCATGTCCAAGAACACTTGGTGCAGTTCTTTCAGATTCTTCTCCATGTCCTTGACGGCGTCATGCCGTTCTTGAATCTCGTTGATTGTATCCAAAACTCTTCCCCTCCCTTGTTCTTGAATCGCTTTTTGCATAAATGTCTCACTCTCCCCTTTAAACAAACAAACAAAATATGTTGAAAACCATATTTTCCGATCAAGAGTAGTTTAACATGTAAAAAAATGATTAAACTGACCTGTTGAAATCAAAAGATCAAGAGTCCGATCATCGGGGTTTTCTCCGGTGACCGTAAAATACCTTCTCTGAACAGTTTCTCTATACTGAGAAGATATTGTTTCTCTCAAACTATTAAAACTCTCCATGGATTCCTTCAACTTCTTCCTCAACCCGTTCACGACCGACGTCCTCGTCCGGTCCGAAGACGATCCAGGTCCACACCCCGGCGTGTTCCGGTTCTCCTCGTTGGACCGATCAAGCGCTTCGAGCCTGGTTTTAATAACTTTAGCCTTCTTCAACGCCATGTTTACGTCGGAATCCATCTTGGCTCGCAATTCCTTCACGGCTTTCGCTTTGTGCAGCGTCTTGCTCTGCTCGTGAGACGACAAAAGCTCGCCGTTCAGCTTCTCGAGTTCTTTGAGCTCCTCGTTGATGGACTCGACTTCTTTGAAGAACTTGCCGAGGTTGTCGGCGGAGGAGGAGGGTGGTTGAGTCATCTGGATTACGTGGTGATTAGGGGAAGCTTCGGCGCTTGGGGAGCCGGAGAAAGACTTCGACAACAGATCGTTCATAGCTGGTTAAACTGTTTTAAGAATAACTCATAAAACCCAATTTTTTTATCAGAAGAAAAGTTTTGAAAAACAGTGGTTTTAGGAGATGGGTATGGAGGGAAATGCCGGAAAATATAGGTTTTTGAAGAGAAGTAACGGATTGTTTATTGCTTATCGTGTAGAAAAGATGTGAGGGAATCTAAAAGAGAAATATCTTGGAAAGTGTAAGAAAAAGTCATTATTGATAACCTGGGGAAAAATCATTGTATTTGATTGAGTAAACTGGAATGTTCTTTCAATCCAACTGTTATTTGCTTTGATTTTAGGGTAAAATACACCATTCATCACTGGGTTTTACTCTCTCTCCTATTTTACTCATTGTATTTTATTTCTTTTCAATTCACTCATTAGACTTTCGAATTGCTCCTATTTAATCACTATGAATTATTTTATTATTATTTTGGTATGATATGACATTTTTATTATTATTTAATATAAAAATAATTTAAAATATAAAATAAAAACCAGATGGTGATCGTCGTCATTAGATACCACCGTCGACGATCTTAGATGGTGACTGTTTGGTCTTAGATTTTATCGGTCGCTTCGTCTTGATCTCATGAGTTTGAATCTGACCTTCATTTTATCAAAACATACTCGAAATTCGATCAAAAGTGAGAAAAACAAAATGTCGGCCACCATAGATGATGGTTATTCGGTCTCAGATTTTATTGGTCGTTTCATCTCGACCCCCTAAGTCTGAATCTGACCTTCATTTTGTTGGAACAAGCTCCAAATCTGATTAAAAGTGAGAAAAACAAAATGTCGGTCACCATATATGGTGGTTGTTCGGTCCCAAATTTTATGGGTTGCTTCGCCTCGATCTCCTAAGTCCGAATTCGACCTCATTTTTGTCATAAAATGCTACTAAGTCCACGAATAGGTGATCAAATGTAAAGAAACTAAATGTTCCAGTTGAGATTCACGGGTTTTGGGACATGTTCAGGTGAAACAACCACCAGATTTGGACTAAGCATGTCAAAGCGAGTCTTTTAGTACAATTTGAGGTCAAACGATAGTCGTTCCAAAGGCCGACGATGGTCGAGGGTGATGAGAAGGAGCTAAAAGTGCATTGATTATTTTAAGGCTTTTTAAATTTAATAAAAATAAAATATATTTTTTTATTATAAATTTTTTTATATTTTAATAATGATAAAAAAAGTACCACATCAATGAATAATAGTGATAATAAAATAATTTAGAGTGACCAAAACATGAATAATTTAAAAGTTCAGTGAGTAAATTGAAAAAATTAAAGTATACTGAGTGAAATAGGAAATAGATTAAAGTTAAGTGATGAATGATGTAGTTTACCCTTGATTTTAATTTGAATTTTTCTTGGCTTTGAACTACTTGGTTGGTGGGAAGAATATAAATTATTCTATAGTTATTTCAGTGAAAAGATATTGTTTTTGAAAGGTAAAATATAAATAACTTCACGATTTTTTTTATTTTAGATAAATTATTATATATTAATATAATAACAAATTTAAGGATAAATTATACTCATAATCATTTATTTATGGGTGATTTCAATCAGACCATCAAACTTTTAATTTTATTAATCAAGTCATTTAACTATTTGATGGATAAATTATTTTATTTTTTAATAATTTATATTTTTTCCATTTTATTACCTATGATATACATATATTTTTTAATTTTTAATACTATTTTTAATATATATTTAAACTTTTAGTATCTCAATTTTTAATTTTAGTATTTTTATATTTATTTTTTATGCACATTTTATTTAAAATTTCGAATTTGAAATAATTTTTATTAAAAAAATTTAAGTACGCCTTTAAACTTTTTAAGAAAATCAATTTGGCCCTTAAATAAATAAATAAAATCAATTTAGTCCATCTGTCATGTTATCTATCATGTCATCAGTCATCGTGAACCACGAATTCAACATTGTAATGGTTAATGATGGAAAACTTTGGTCAAGGTCAACAATGGATATATTTTATGAGTTAGAGGGCCACATTTAGTAAAAAAGTAATTCAAGGGTCACATTGATTTTTTCCAAAAGTACAAGGGCTTGTGATGCCTTTTTGCCAACATAATTTACTAAATTTTGCGTAACAAAGTGGAAAATGTTAAAGCTCAAAGATTCGAATGGCGGGAAGGAATCAGAGCCCAAAGCCTACGGTATAACCTAAAATAAATATTTAAAACAAAATTTTCCACTGATTAATTTGGGCTAAAATGGGAAAGAGAAAAAAATTTAGGGTTTCACGCGATGAAGAAGAGGAGGAAGAAGTTGTCCAAGAAGAAGAGGGAAATCAGTCTTCTTCAAATGAAAGGAGCTTATATGAGGTTCCCCCCTCCCCCTTTAATTTTAATATCGAAATCTGGGTTTATGTGTTGTTTCTACCTGCGATTCAGTGGCTATGAAAAAAATATTAACTAAGACTGGGTTTAGAGTATAGACTGGAGTTTAGAAAACAATTTGTATATGAAATTAATTGAAATAAAATAGTCATATATATTTAATGGATTCGTATGGAATTTCGTTTTCTTTTTTGTGGGTTCAATGTGACAACTTCTCCAAATATTTTCATTGTTTCATTGGAAGACTGTTGTTTTGCATTTGGGTTATTTTATCCATTGAATTTTCCTTTAGAAATTTGAGCAACAGATGCCCAATAACGACTGGTTCCTTGCAGATTCTCGGTGTTGAAAAGGCAGCATCCCAGCAAGAGATTAAGAAAGCATATTATAAGTTGGCACTGAGACTCCATCCTGATAAAAACCCTGGTGATGAGGTATAAACTGAACTTTTTTTTTTTAAATTAGGCTTCAAATATCTGTTTATGTGGGAGATTGTGGGTGGGAGGCGTATGAAGTTAACATTTGTCTGCTTTCATCATTTTGTTACACTTCATGTCACTTATGCAGGAAGCCAAAGAGAAGTTTCAGCAATTGCAGAAGGTTATATCTATTCTCGGTGATGAGGAGAAACGGGCAGTGTATGACCAAACTGGTTGCATTGAGGATGCTGTAAGTAAATATATTTCAGGCCTATGCAAATCCCTTAGGATGTGGAAATATCCTGTTTCGTCTTTCATTATTTTCATGTAAAACAAAATGAATCTCCTAGGCTTCCTATTGTTATACATGTTATTCAATTGAAATTGGTCCATTTGTGAAATTTATTATCATATGAGTTTATCATCTTCTAACCTTTTTCTCTTGATTTTGTTGATAAGGATCTTGCAGGGGATGTTGTTGAGAACTTGAGAAACTTTTTCAGGACCATGTACAAAAAGGTTTCGGCATTTGTTGATTCTTCTTCTATTTATGTCATTTGTACTTTGGCTTTCCATTCCATTTTGTTCACAATGGTTTAATCAATTTCAGGTCACCGAGGCTGATATTGAAGAGTTTGAAGCAAATTACAGGGGGTCTGATTCGGAGAAGAAAGATTTGATTGATCTTTATAAGAAGTTCAAGGGAAAAATGAATAAGTAAGAGAGGCGGAGTGTTTTTCTTTCCTTAAGGCTTTCGAGATTAGTTCTGATGTTTTTTGCTGTCTTGACAGGCTCTTTTGTTCAATGCTTTGTTCGGATCCTAAGCTTGATTCACACCGTTTCAAGGACTTGCTTGATGAGGCAATAGCTGCTGGTGAGGTTTTCTTCCAGAGTTTATTTTCATTAGTTGGCTTATAAATTTTATATTCTAGAAGAACAATTGAAGTCTTGCATGTAGTTCTTACTGTGTTTTCCAACTTAAAAAAGGGATAAGGAAAAGTTAATTTGATAAATTCTTTTTTTTTGATAAATAGCGAGACCTCATTAAAAAACCCCTTCATAACCATTGATGTACAAAAGTACATCAACGGACATTGGAAGGAGGAAAAGAGTGTCTCAAATGTCATTCCATAAAAAATACATTACACACAATAGCCGGTTAATACAACCAACTCCCCACACTCAAACCTCACCCCTGAAACTCACCTCTGTCCAGAAAAAACTACCCTATCCCTGCCTTAGCCAAGCTGTCAGCCTCACAATTCACAGACCTTTTAACCAACCTAAGGATGACACTATTCTTAATAACAACAATAGCAATATCCTTTACAAGAAATGAAAACATTGAAGGACACAATTCTGGATTCTTAATCCAACTAACTGCATTCGCTGAATCTGACTCAACAATAAGCCTTCCCTTTCCATGCCACTCTGAAGCCTCAAACAAAGCTAATCCAGCTTGAATAGCCTTCAATTCTGCTAAAACCGGGGGGGCAGAACCCTGTGAATCCGAGGAGTCCAAAACTTTGCCCTCTACATTTCGTAGTATGCCCCCAATACCACTCCTTTCCCAATCTCTTTGAACAGCCCCATCCACATTGACTTTGAAGAAACCCATGGGGGGGACTCCACAAGGCCGATGATGGACTAGATTTCTTTGACGGTATATAGGAATCAGCCAGCTTAGGATCACCAACTAAGCAATCAAAAAGGATTGAACAATTAGGATACTTCGCCAAAAACCACTCCGCCACTCTGTATCTCGATAGAAAGAACAAATTATCAAAATCACATTTTCCCCTCTCGAATATCATCTTATTCCTGCACTTCCAAACAGACCATAAAACAGCTCCCGGAATAAAATTCCAGATTATAGACATTTTTTTTATAGAACAGATTATAGACATTGGCGCAAGACTTTCCCAAGACAAACAAAAGACGTTAGGATTCTCAGAAAAAACCAAAGATAAATTCCACAATCTTAAAAAACACCCCCACAGACTCCATACAATCGAGCAAGAAAAGAATAGATGAGATACCGTCTCTTGATGCACACCACATAACGGGCATAAGTCGTTATCTATCTCACTAACACCACGCTTAATAAGTTCCGTTTTGACCGCCACTTTTCGATGCAGGATCTGCCACAAAAACGCCTCCACTCTAGGCGTTTATATTTAAAGAAACTATAATCAAAACATGGATCACATTTTGTAGCTATGTTGCCCTTTAAGAGTGGGTGAGGGACATTTATTATTTCTCTAGTGCCTGCTGAAACTGACAAAATTAGGATTGTAAGATCATTTTGAAGCTTATCGAATTCTTACTTCAACCTGATTCCACTTCTATATATATTTTCGGTTTAAGAATGGATGATCTAATTGATTGTTCCAGTGTTGTTTCCTAAATTATGAAAACGATAATGTGCATCATTCTTGCAGCTTTTCTTGATGTGTGTGGTTTTTTTTTCCATGAGATGAGATTTCCCCCCCCCCTTTGTTTCTTTCTTGTGTAGGAGAACTGAAAGAAACCAAAGCCTATAAGAAATGGGAAAAGAAAATTTCTGAAATGAAGCCGCCTACGAGTCCCCCGAGGAGAAAGGGGAAGTGAGTCTTGTACTGGGTTTTTCCTTTAGAATTTTAAGATATTTACGTCATCTGATTATTATAGGAAAGTATGTGCCTCTTTTTTTTTTATTAAACAGATCGATTAAACGGCCTGAACCGGATCTACTTGCAATTATATCTGAGCGTCGAAATGAGAGGAAAGACCGATTTGATTCCATGTTTTCATCACTGGTGTCCAGATATGGGGGTAATGCTGAGTCTGAACCCACTGAAGAAGAATTTGAAGCTGCAAAGAGGAAAGTTGAAAGCCGAAAGGCCTCCAATAAATCAAAACGGAAGCGGCAGTAGGTCTTACCAAGATTTCTTTATGTAAATTTGGATGTGGTGAGAAATATGCAAAGTGCAAACATTGTTTTAACTGTCTGGATGCGAATTGCCTCAACTGCTCCAAAATGTTGCCTTTGTTCTAGTTAATTAAAAATTTAAGGTTCATTTGAATCTGTCTTATCTACCTTTTTTACCCAAGGATTTGGTTGCAGTTAGGATGGCTACAAGTGGGACAGTGTTGGGCATTGTTTATGCTTGCCCGGCCCCCGGCCCTGACTTAAATTTATAAATCTGAACTCTTCCCGTCCTGAAACTTAAAAGTTCATACGAGAAACAACACCAACATTTTGAATTCCCACAGGTACTTAATATTTATTTCTTAACAGATATACCCAACATCTACTCAACATGTCCACAAATGAAACATAGTAATTAAAACCGTTTGAAGTCATTGATTTAGACACCCATACATCCAATTCAAAAGGCTTTTTATTCTTTGTAAATGAAACATGAAATGACTAAACATGACTTTAAACTATCCGACAAGCAGAACATACAATATTCCTATCGATTTAGACAGTCTTATTCAAAACACTGAATTATACTCGGAGCAGGATGCCTTAGCTTGTGATGTGATACCCTATATTCTTCATTTATTTCTTACTAAACTACTGTAGGCTAGCAGATTAAAATTGGTCAAGTATAAATCAGAAACAGTAATCAAATATAATCACGCAGATAAATTTGTATTGCAAAATATCAGAAGTAATTCAAATTCTCATATTACAAATGAAGTGAAGAAATTATTCTTCTATCATTTGAACACAAGTAATCGAATTTGAGCTCTTCAATACATATAGATATTTTTTTTCATATACATTATATATATATTTAAGCAAAGAAAGACACAAGGAAGGCTCCAACCAAGGACCCAAGAACAGGCAAGGTGGAGATTGCAACATTGGCTTCAGGGCCTGGTGCGGAAGCTGGTGCGGCGCCACCCAAGGAGTGTTCAAGTGGGGAGGAACCTGGGGCGGAACTTGGGGTGGCAGCTGGTGCTGCTACGCCGGCAGCCATGACTGCGCTCATGGAGGCAGCGGCGAAGATGACAGAACAAGAGATCTTCTTCATGTCCATGATGTTGTTGGGGAGACCTGCCTTAATTTGGTGAACAAAAAGTAATTGTTTTTTATTTAGATTTTTGTTTTTTGTTTTTATTTTTTTGCAGGTGAGGAGAAGGTGAGTTCAGGGATGATTTTATACGTGAAATCTAATGCTTCTTTTGGCTTAAAATTAGGGTTTTGGTTGGTTTTGCATGGTTTTAGGATACAGCTTTTGACTCGTTATTTTTCCTGCAAAATGTATAAATTATTTTGTGGCGTAAAAACTTTTGTTCCTCAAAATTTGCATTTTAAAAAAGCTTTATGTATAAAATTGACGAAAAAACGCCGATATAATTATTTGAGACAAAAGAATTCTCAGATAATGTCTTCATCAATTTATTTGTTGAAGTAAGTTAATTGTTATAATGTAATTTAAAATACGTCGAGAGTATAATGTGTTTTTAATATTCCCAAGAAAGATGTATAGATAAAATAGAGGTAGAGTCTGCATGAGAAAGACACACTGTGATCCATACGTTATCTCAAAAAAATTGAAGATGTACTGTAATCATCGTATCTTACTGAAAACGCATTGTGCTTCCGGTGTCTCTCAAATGATACTGTAACACTTATCATACTTCAAGAAATAATTCATGGAGCATTATGTAGAGAATTTTTTTCCCACAACATTTTTCAAGCATTTTTTTCTAAAATTGACAACATTAATATTGACGGGTCTTTATTTTTAATCATAGATCAAATAATTTTTTATATAAAAAATTGTTATCAAATAATTGTCTTTAAAAAATTATTAAAAGGCGTTTTCAACCTTTAAAGTTATTTTTAAGATTTATTTATTATAAATTTTTAAATAATAACTTTGTAACATCCTCTATACCGGGTTAGTAATCAAATTGTGAGATTTTAAAATTCAGTGACCAAATTAGATAAATTGAAAAGTTGAAGGACTTAATTGAAATATGCTTGTGTATGATGATTTAGTAAATGAAGAAGAAAGAAAGGGGCAAGTTGGTCATTTAACAAGAAGGGTAATTAAAGATTTTTGTGTGGATATTTTTATACCCACGTGGGGCATGTGCAGGAAACAAAAGTTTCCAGACAACTCTTTTTCTACTTTTTTCTTCTTCAAACGTGAAGCACCTAAACCAGGGTAAGTTGGATTTCTTTTGATTAAACCTTAAGATTCAAGTATGGTTTAGGTTAATGAAGACTTAGGAAAGACGATGAAGATAAAAAGGGTCATATAAACTCAAAGAGTTGTAAGTTATGAAGGATTAAAGGCAAGAGGTGGATAATTGAAATTTTGAATAAGGATGTATAAATGAATTTAGAAGTTGAATTTGACTTGTCATAGGTGTGAATAAGAAGTTATAAGTGTTAGAGCAAAGTTTATATTACATGGAAATTTAGTAAGATTTTTGGTTTTAAGAATTTGGATGAGATATGGGAGATAATAAGATGTTGAAATGATGGAAGTTAGTTAAAGTGTTTATAGTTGGGTTTGGTAGTATAAAAAGACTTTATATAATGGAATTTAGTGATGAGTTGTGGAATTTTCGGGTGAAAAAGCATGTTCTGGGCAGGGTGTATCGGTACAATATGAATATGTACTGATACCCTAAGACCAATTTTAATGAACATCTTCATGGTGTATCGATACATTAAGGGGTATACCGATACCTATGTATCGATACCCACAGACAGGTATCGATGCCTGTGAATTTCGAAGTTAATTTAGGTACCGATACACCCATAGTGTACTGATACCCTCCTAAAGGGAAAATGAATTTTGGTTCATTAAATTAGTTTAAGTTATTAGTATCAAATTATAAGATTTAAGCTTCTGATAATCGTCTTGGAAATTATACTTATGTAGATACTGAGCCTGCATGAGTTCCGGAACCATTTGTAAGTAAGAGCGATCGAGGGAAAGACAAAGATTTATAGGTGAGTCCATATGCATAGCATGATTATAGTAGCGTATTCAGCTTTAGACTTGTGATAAGTCTAATTTCAAAATCATTGGTACATGGTTGCATTTCATTATGTGATGCATGATCTGAATTTATATGATATGCTTTATATGGTAAAGATCTATGTGAATATGTATGGGATTTTATATGAGCTATGTGATAAAAGGGTATGTTATGTAAATGAGAGTTATAGGTATAGTTGGTATGCCAAGAGCCGAGGGTTTACGCGGTCCTTCGGGACATATATGTATCATTTGGAACATTTATGAGGTCCTTCGTGACACATACTTGGTCCTTGGAATATGTATATGATTCTTAAGGAATTTCTATGTGGTCCTTATGGACATTTTATATGGCACTACGGTGCAATTCTACGTGGCACTTCGGTGCATTTATATGAGTTGTGGTGATAGCATAGTGCACAACCTCATTGTACTTGTATACCTTAGGTTCTCAGTATTTTAGCATGGGCTAATAAACTTGTCAATATGAATTCCTAATAGTTAATTTAATAAGATTATGGGTAAGGTACATGGTTATGTAACTTGCATGGATTCAATATGTGATTTCATTACACTTCATTTCATTATGACATTATCATTATATTTTATAGTTATTATTATTATGCCTCACTAAGTCAGTGACTTAGCGTGTGAGTAGTTCACGCGTAGGATCCGAGAAGGTAGACAAACAAGGTTAGATCGATGGGACAACATTTCTCCTACAACTATCATATCAGAAGCAACTTAAATAGTCAGTCATTTTGTTATGTAAATCGATGTTGGCATGTAATCAAATGTTTAAGTTGTGTATGCTTCGAGTATTTTGGTGAATTTTGTATAAACCTATGTATATTATCGTATTTTATTGACATAAGTACAAATGTTCTGTTAATTTGTTAAGAATATTGTTTTAAAAGGCGATGTGACATCTCAGACCCGTATTCGAGTCGAGTACGAGTTTGGGGTGTTACAAACTCATTTCATTCACAATTAAACATACAAATTTATTTAACATTTAGATATAATTAAAGGAAGAGAAAATAACCTCAGTGACCAAAAATCCCATATAATATACGATTTTAACCAACTTTTTCCGGATTTGCCAAAATGACCAACAAAATCGCAATGCGATCGCTAATTCGCAACGCGATCTCCATTATCGTAAATACGCGTTGCATTTTCGCAATGCGATAGTTGAAAATCGCGTTGCGATGGTCTACAGTATCGTTGCGATTTTCCCAATTCGCAATGCGAATAAGTAAATCGCAACGCGAATTGGAAAATTCGCAATGCGAATAAGTAAATCGCAACGCGAATTGAGAAAATCGCAATGCGATACTGACTATCGCAATGCGATAATAAAAAATCGCAACGAGATACTTACTTTTGCAACGCGATACTGACTTTCGCAACGCGATTTACTTAGCGCCATTCGTATTAACGCGTATTTTTTTTTTCAAATTCCAAACACGTATTTTTTCTTAATAAATCGGAAAATGAACCGTCCACAGTAATCGCACGCAACTCATAACCTCAAACCCAAACACACAACACTCAGTCCCATCTCCATCTTTCACTCTCTACGGCGAAATCCGTCCCCATCTCAGAAGATTTCCGTCCCCATCGCCGGCGAAATCCCTCACAACCATTCACAGTCAAAAATCCCTCACAATCATTCAGAAATGGAAAATCAACCTCCGAGGGTTAGTTTTTTTTATTTTTATTTTGAAATTTTTGCATTATTTTAGGTTTTTCATATTGAGATTGATGATAAGTTTACTGGTAATTTCAATAATAGATTAACCATTTCACTTAGATTTCTTATTAAATTCATTCGATTGCTGCCAATACTGCTAAACTGTTTAGCCTGTGAAGTTAGTATTTGTCTTTGTTTGTCTTTTGGTTGAGTAATGCAGAAGAAGAATAGTTTCGAGAATGAAAATCGCAAATCGGAAATAACTATCGCAACGCGAAATAAAAATCGCAACGCGAAACCAAAATCGCATTGCGATTTTCATTTCGCGTTGCGATTTTCATTTCGCGTTGCGATTCTCTCGTCGCGATAGTCATTTCGCGTTGCG